TCAAGGTCCCACACTTGCAAGCCATAAAATACAGCTGTAGAAACAGAGACATTGTGTCCCTATTGTGCTATATATTGTCTGTCCAATAACCAGTTATTTACGTTTTAAGTACTCCTTGGTGAGCTCAATTACACAAGTTTTGATGATTTTTTTTAAAACTCTGAAACATGTATTTTTGGTGTGTTTTTTGTCATTTTTGGTCAAAATTAATATTTTGGACCTTTTATGCAGTGTATTTGAGAGTAATATATCTTATAAAGCCATGTGAGATTCAAACCTAATTAAAATTTGGGCTTTGAAATTTTTGTCAAAATTGATATTTATGAATTTGGAAGCTTAATCACATTAAAAGTTTTGATGCAATGCATCTGAGAATGACAGCTCTTATTGAGCAGTATGAGGTGTGCATCTGATTATAAACTGGGTTTCCAAACATGTACATTTGTAATATATTGTCAAAAACATTCTCCACTTTGGTCAACTTCAGATACAAATACATGTAGACTACAAATGTAATTCCATGGGGACACATAATTATAAAACATTTCCTAGTGTTGAAACTTGCAATTGAGTTAGGTCAGTTTCAAGTTTCTTCTTCTGTAACATGATTCCAGGGGATTTCTACCTATTTAAGCTTGTCAGATCATATTCTTGTTTTGAAATTTATTAATGATTATTGATAATATTACCAACTCAGAATACCAATCAACTACGGCATGGCTATAATAGTGTCCCTATGTTTACAACATTTCATCCTGCTTTAAAACAGAAAGTAACATGAAAAATGTTGTTGTTATGTAACAATTATGAGGAGATTTAAATAAATGATTGCATCATGATAAATGTCTATTGTATGCATTTGTTTCTGAACTTCAAAGATGATATTACTATATTGCAGGGAAAGATTTTGTCTACATTTTAATTTTAAATTATATGTCGATAACATATGTATTAGACATTATATTATTTTAACATATTTTGTTGAATTATGATAAAAAACTTTATTACATGTAACGTATAAACCAAAAACGAAATGTCAAATTTTCTTTACGGTGATAATAAATATTACTATTATTATATGCTTCTCATTTACCAGTAGTCACACAAATAAAATACATGTAGTCACATATCTTCGGTCCAATCATGAACTCCTGCACATTCATCATGTCCTCAATGTGATGTACGTGCTAAAGATGACCAAAAATAATATAGAGCTGAGTTATGACTGGATGCACAGAAGGTAAATGGTATATGCCGGTTTTTCAACTACCGATAATTCAAATTGGGGACTAACAGAAACAGCAGTACAATCTATAGTGCTTTATTAGTATGAAGATTTGCCTTGATAACATCTGTAATGCAATAAATCATTTTATCTGAAATGCAAAGTTTCTAGTTAATATTAATCCGTACAATAATTGAATGCTAATATAAAGTGAAGTGAAAAATACTTGTGTTATAAAAAATGAAGTGAATTGATATTTTTTATAAAATGTGGAGAGTGAAGCTGTAGAAATCCATAAAAAGTGAAGTGGGGAGAAGCCATATTATTTTTTACCTATGTGAAGGCCCGAATAGGATGCGGAAACAGGTTATTTGCGTGGTAATGCAATAATTACCACGCATTATCAATAGTTACTGCGAGTGACAAACTTACAAATGTAAGTCGTGGTCGCATTAATATTTTATTAATCATAAACAACTCGAATATTATGACTGCGGTAAAGCTCGGCAAAATAGTTTTGCGTGGGACATTCGAATATTTGGTAGCTTGGTTGCGCCCGGGGTTGCGCACATGCGCAGTTCCAACGACAATACCTCTACGTTAATGACCCCTGACCTAGGCATGGGAGGACTTGTGGTTGGCGTTGCTTGGTGAACCCGCACTATACTGTGTCATAATTTGGTCAGTCAGTCTTAGTTGAAGGCAAATGCACTTTAAATATATAAGCGAAGAAAATACACCACGATGACAGAAAGCAAGGCTAAACAGGCTGCTCAACAGCTTACCGCTGGAGGACTCGCCGGTAAGTACGAGAACGTATGATGAGTTGCACCATTCATTGGACCATGGACCTACAGGCAACACACCCCTGTGTTCGTATTAGCCGCAGTCCTTCTAGTTATATCGTGATTGTGTATTAGCTGTGATTTTTTTTCGGTGTTTCCGTCACATTCAACGGATTTTTTACTTATCTGGCTTGTTTTTGATCTAATATAGTCGCAATATAGCCTCTACACTCTGTAATCGCCAAAATAACAAAATATAGACCGTCAGGTCAGGCAAGCGGACAAAAATCACAGCTAGGCTAACGCATACTACCAGCCAGTCCTGAGCTGATTTCGACAAATAAAGTAAAAATAATAATAATAACCTGGGTAGACCTATAAATATTAAAATAATATTAAATATTCTCTATTTATTGCGATGCAAAGACATTTGAACTAATATTATTCATTCTTTTTATACGTACATTTTATCATAAACTTTATCATAATATTTTCATAAAATATAATTCATAACTTTATTGTACTAAAATTAATATCCAATTATATATAAATATTATATCCTTAAAGATCACTATTACTATGATAACCTGGAATTTATCTCTGTAATTAGTGCATAAAAATCAATTTGTAGACAATGCCACTTTTAACAAAAAATCTTTTTCATAGACATATTTATTTGTATTACTGCTTAAATTTGATTTATAGTATATATTTAGTTAGTAGACTTTGATGTACGGGGTAGCATGCACCATAAATCAAATGCAAAAATCACAATATTCATAAGATTCATAAGTTGTTTACAATTTGTCAAACATTTCTGAATATTTCCATAAAATCAGTTGTGATTCAGTTGTTAGTACCTTAGGGGGCAATACATCAAGTTCAATTGCAGACTTCCCGACTGATAATTTGAATTAGTCTCCCTAATGAATCCACATTCAGTGTACTGTAAAATACTTTATTTTCGCTTTGAATTAATTTTCGCTATTTTCTCTGAAGGAATGGTATACTAATATACCTTTTTT